CTCGGGCCCTAGGTCGGTAACTCCTAGAAGAGTTCACTGAACACCTCGCTCGGGCCACAGGCACGTGCAACAGAGGTTGAAAAAAGGTTAGCACCACCATCGCTCGGCCCCGATAGCCGAGTGTCCCCATATCACTTGGGAAGGGCCCCACGAAGGGCATGGTACTCTTATTAGCTGAAGACATCCCTGCCATAGCTGGCTCGGTCTACAAAAGATCGAATTCAGCCTTCATCGTCATCACAAATCTGGTCAAGTGAGGCCATGAAGGGCTCGTGGGCTATTGACGAGATCCAAACATATGGGTATGTTAAGCCTCGGGATCAAGACTTCCTGACCGAGAGACCCCCCGACCAACCCTTCCAGTATCACTCGGGGCTTGGAGGCTATACCCATCTGGTACGCTCGTGCGCACCCTCAGGCCAAAGAAATCGCCGGAGCCTGAGCGTAACCGCCGCCATCGCTCGGGGCTCGGGGGCTCGACCGAGCCATAGGCTCCTGATCGACAAGAGCTTGGACCCGATCCTTAGACTCCTCCCAGCCCTAGGTGCTAACCAAGGCCCGAGCACAAGAAGACACGCCCTACGCCGCCAAGGCTCTGGGTCTCCCCAACGCTGGCCGTTGGGTGCGGTTCTATCAACCGCTCCCCCGATAGGGTCACGGACGGGGCGTGACACAAGAAGAGAAGTCCCTCCGTTGCCTCCTAGGGCTCGAGGGCTCCCGGGCCGACACGTCAGCCCCTCGGGCCTGCCTCCTTTACCACCAAGAAGTCTCCAGAAGGCGCACCTAGGGGAGCCCGGTCAAAGCCAACACAGACTGACACTTAGCGTGTCAGGACAGAGCAGCCGGACGATGCCCAGGGCTTCTTTGGCTCCACGACATCGCCACGGTCCACAGAACGCCACTGCAAGACCCTCTTAGACTCCGGCGTATGTAGACCATAGGCTGAACTTCACAAACCGCCATGTACCCGACCTATCTCGGTATATAAGAGATAGGTCGGATACTAAGAGGGGGGAGGATGATCCCAGATAGATTGTTCGCATCCTCATCGTTCCGCTCGAGCTCTGCACCGAGAGCAGAGCAACCCAGAGAGGGGCACCTAGAACTCCTCCACCGATCCGTCGTCTTGCTCCTCTCCGACGAGGGGGAAGGCTCCACCGGAGGCGAGGCAACCGACGCATTAGCACCAAACTAACCCCCTACCAAATCTCTCTCCTTCTCTTGTGCACTCTGTTGTAACCCCCGATTTTGGGTGCTCTTGAGTAGAAGGATCATCAGTTGCTGGACATAGGGCACTGATTGGCCAGAACCAGGATAAACCGTTGCGTCCTCTCTGTGATTCTTGTTTTTTTGAGTCCACCTGAGCCACTGGAGACTCGTACTCTGACACCACCTCGAACAACAATGTTTACCACGGTTCTGACTACGCGACACCGCCTACCTCGTCGGCACTGGCACTGCTGAAACCTGCCGTCGCCGAAGGAGAGAGAGGGAGGAGCCGCGTTGGTGCGCGGGCTCGGGCTCGCGGGCGCTCCAAATTAGACTTCCTTCTTCCCCCGCGCGAATCGGACAGCCGCGAATTTTTTTTTAATTTTAACACTTTTTGTAAACTATTTTTAAATCTAACACCAGTTGTTTTTTTTATTTCTAAAACTAACACTTTTGGCCGTGTCTATTGCCATGGCGCGGCCAAATGCCTGTGCCGTGTCATGCATGGTGGCGTGGCGGGAAGATGACGTGGCGAAGACCAAAGACGCTGACCGGTGACGTGACAGGCTCTGCTGCGCCACCGATCTTGACGCGGCGCCGCCGCGCTGTCCCCTGTGGCGCGGCAATCCCTCATGGTGCGGCCTTTCTGAGGGGGTGGCACCGAGCTCGAGCCACTAGCACGTTGACGGCGCGCGCGACGAGGCGATGCTGCTGCTGTTGCTCACTGTGCTGCTCACTGCTTTTGCTGCTGCTGCTCACTGCAAACGGCGCCCACAGCGCACTGCTTGGTTCTCCATCCTGTAGTCGAGAGCGATCGATTTTTCTATTCTAGATAAGACCTTGTTTAGATTGCAAATTTTTACAACCGGGACACTGTAGCACGTTTCGTTTGTATTTAACAAACTTTGTCCGATCATGGACTAACTAGGCTCAAAAGATCCATCTCGTGATTTACAACCAAACTGTGTAATTAGTTATTTTTTTTACCTACATTTAATGCTCCATGCATACGTCTAAAAATTAATGTGACGGAGAGAGAGTGAAAAAAACTTGGAACTTGAGGTGATCTAAACCAGGCCTAAGTAAAATACGACGACACTGTTGTGATGTCAGGTACGGTGGAAATCACCGGTGACACTTCCGTGCAAGCCTCCAGCAGCTTGATCCCTTTGATGATTCAAGATACCAAGGATGAAGAAGACTATCACAATGGTTATTAAGGCCCATTGATGATTGGATTTGGCTTTCGAAGCAGTATACCGACTCCGTGGCCCGTGCTCAGCTGTACATCAACGAGCACTAGTTGAGCTAGTACCTTTCTTTCTTTTTCACTCTACTGTACAGCAACGTGCTCAGCAGTATGTAATACCACTTTCCCAACACACCTCGGAGTCAATTCTTTTAAATTTGTTCTAATAATATACACAAAAAACTAATATTTATGATGTATAATGGTAGAATAAATTTTATAACAAACTTATTTTAAGTATAAATGTTGATAATATTTTTATATAACTAATCAAATTTAAAAGTCTCAGGCTCGTCAAGAAATGAGACGCGCATTTATTTTAGGACGAAAGCATTATATGTGGCGAGCAGTATTTGTGTATACATTTAGATTATGTGCAGTCAGTCGTTCTTGTTTTTTAGGAGTTAAAAATTGTTCTTATTCCAGGAGTTAAAAATTTTATAAGATGGCCTATTATCACAGCAAGACCTATACGAGGATCCTCAGAACTCCCGCTGTCCCTAAATGTTTATTGCTGTGATTTATATGTCGATAACTTTGATTTGATTTATAAAAAATACGTGTAATATTTTAATCTCCAAATAAATTTATTAAAAAACTAGATTCAAATATCTATCAATGATACTAATTATGTGTTATAAATATTAATATTTTTTAATATATATTTAGTTAAAATTGTTTCTCAAGAAGCGAAACGACATATATTTAGAGAAGAGGGAGTACTGTCAACTCAAAATAGGCAGCGGCGGCTAACAGCCAAACTTGGCCGTGACAGTAGCCAACTATCCTGTATGTACTGTAGCACTGACCACGCCTCGTCCCATCGCTGCCCACTCAGTCGCCCACGCCTCTATGCGCACTGTAGCACTAACCACCATCGCTGTCGCGGTGCATGCATCTTCTCTTTTTATTTAAAAACTGGTCACGGGAAAGTTGTTGGCACCACCACTGATCAAGGGAGGAAGTTTGGACGGCAGGGAATTCTAGATTTTCTCCTTTTAGCTTGCGTTGCATTGGAACCTTAATTAATATAAGCTACAGTACCTTTTTGGTGAAAAGCTACAGTACTAGATTGACAAAGACCCAGCACTCGTCTTTCTTTGGAACTTGAAACCTCGTTGGAATCTCTCTTGTGAAAGAGAAATCAATTTTAGGTGCCTAAATCTACTTGAACCTCTCTCTGAAAAATACGTGTAATATATGAAACAAGAGTGTCATACTACATCTTCTAAAAGCGAGGAGAACCCCATTTCTATTGTATCATAACGGAAATACAGATATTTGAATCTTATTAAAAAACCAACCTATTAGCTAGCTGCTTCGAAAGCCAAATCCAATCACCAATGGGCCTTAATAACCATTGTGATAGCCTTCTTCATCCTTGGTATCTTGAATCTTCAAAGGCATCAAGCTGCTGGAGGCTTGCACGGAAGTGTCACCGGTGATTTTCACCGTACCTGACATCACAACAGTGTCGTCGTATTTTACTTATCTAGAGTAAAAAAAATCGATCGCTCTCGACTACAGGATCGAGAACCAAGTAGTGCGCTGTGGGCGCCGTTTGCAGTGAGCAGCAGCCGCAAAAGCAGTAGCAGCACAGTGCCGGTCAAAACACTTGGTTGCTGTTTAGCGTTTCTGTTATGAAAAGTTATTTTCATAGGACAAGCTCCACTTGGACTTGGCGTGGCATCCAGTTTTTCATTGCCTTCCAAAGAGGAATGCTGATGAATTCAAACACAGTTAATACTTTGCTCCCTGTTCTCTTTCTCTAGTCACCTAATTAGTCGGAGTGGGTTTCCAACCACCAGGATGTTGATCCTAATGTTGGTCATCTTAACTTCTAGAACCCGAGTATGTGACACATAAGAACAGCATTAGCGTTTTTTTCTTGTTCAAGAACCAAAAAGTGGGAACAAAAACATAACGAATCACACAGCGCATAAAAGGTGATGTCCACCAACCCCATTCCCATCATGCTGTGAGGCCTGGAAAATTCTACTCGCTGTGATCATGTAACAACAGCTTATCGCTATAACTCTTACACTGATATTTCTGTGATCAACGACTGCTAATTTACAAGAAACAAAATAAAAATTTCTGTCTCGTCATCGAAAGGTCCTAACAGCATGATCGAAATCCATGCCACGACATTTCCTACCTTTGGAGAAATAATTGATTTTCCTGTTGCTCATGTAATCAGAGACAATGATCATGAAATTTTACAAAGAGAAAAATGGTGAAACTAAAATTGCAGAGGAAAAAAAATCTAGTACAGTGGCCCTGGAATTAAATCAATGGTCTTCATTGGTTCAATTGATCAAGAGCCTCCAAGAGTATAGGTCTGAAACGGTTGCAATCAAGCCTCACATTCTGTGTATCCATGAAGGTTTGTCTGACAAACTCAAATCCATTCTTGTGGAAAGCAAGTGGGTTTCTGAAGATCTCGTGATCCAGGGAGTATTGCTCCGTGAGGCTGCTCTCGTGCACATCTATGCTGTAGTGCTTGTATCTCAAGCCCATTTGTTCTGCTGGGTAGCCAAAATCAATCCTGCATATCCCATCTAGGGCACCCCAAGGTACAATCTGAATTAGTATGGCACTGTGTGGAAGGAACACAATTTGTGAGCCCAGCACCATGGACCCCCATCATCACATCGACGGAGTTAACTTCCTTGGAAAAATGGGTGACATTGGAGTTCACATTGGCCTCTTCAACCACCACGTCATAGCCTATCTCCTCAGCCATGGCCACGATCTCCTTGAGATTGAGGAACATTCTTGTCCTTTGCCTGGAGATAATCAGCAACCTTGGCCTGGTCTTCGGGATCTCACCAAGTGCTGTTACTGCATCCCTAGGCAGCGAGTAGGTCCTGCGCATGAACCGGTTGAAGTCCACCATTGAGTAATTATGTGGAGCCTTTAACGGGTCAATTGTGAAATCCATGTAAGCATGAAGGCCAACGATGGCATGCTTGAAGCAATGCACTTCATTGTCCTTGTTGAAATCAATCAAGGGGTACTTAGTTAACTTCTCAAACACAGCTGCATACTTCCTTGTCCACCAAATAGCCATGTCTGTGATTAGGAATTGAACTCACTTGCAGTCGTGAAAAGGGGGACAAGCACGTCGGTGAAGTCATGGAATAGATTTCCAGTGTATGCAGTCAGAGCAAAGATCACAGCAGGCACGTCATGGTACTTGGAACAATCAGGTGCCACTTTGCTGGATTTCACTGTCACCTCTGTAATATGATTGAGGCATAATTCATCACCTTTGCGAGGGTAAGCCTTAATTTTCCATTGTTCGTTTCTCTTTGAACTTGAACTTATAGGTTCCATGTAAATGACCGAACTGCCATTTGGGTGTATTCTGATGTTACCTCTCATCTCACAGATATTTGCTCTGAAGTTTGAGAAATCACACAATGGTTTGTCCCACTCCACATTATCCAATGCTGAAAAATGGACAACTGTCAGTAGAGCAGACAAAATCAAACAAGATGGATATATATGTCATTGTCTCATTGTTAATGTGCACAATGCCCATCAATCCAATTGAAGGATGAATAACTAGACAGTACAAAGTGGTTTGTGGATCAATTCTTTTTACTATGACCAGAACCAGCAGAATCTGAATGATATATTCTGTTTTCTCTCAGCACACATTTTATTTATCCAAGAAGCTACTAACCTGCTTGATGAGCTCTGTCTCGACCATTTCTCTGGTCAACATCCAGAGTGAGCTTAAATTCTGCATCAGTTTTGCCATATGCAACAACATCAGCAGGACCACAAAAACACCATGAACAAGTATCGGCACTGTTATGCATAATAAGTATCAAAAGGCACACTGATCTAAATCAATGCAACAAAACAAGAAATTGCAAAGATGCAATAAAAATAAATCACACTGATCTTCCCCCTTACAGGTTATTTTTTCGGTTATACATTGGCTTTGTACATGGGCTATCCTACAGAAGTCAACATCATAGGGGTTGCAGTGGCATCTCAACGATTCGCATAGGTGGCCAAGGAGTTTTTTTAACCCAAGCACATGGGTGATAGTCTAGTCTATGGAGTTTAATTGGCCCCGTTCGTTGGTCTGAAACTTGGCTGAAACTGGCTGAAAAACACTGTTCCGGTTGAATTGTTGTGAGAGAAAAATACTGTTCCGGCTGAAAAAAGAAGCCGAACAAACCGAATATAGGGTAAGCCGAATATGGGGTAAGCCGAATATAGTGTGTCGTAAGGCTGTGTGTATCATGGCTATAGAGAGGCCAGGAGTGCTACAAGGTTTTTATATTCTCTCCATGTAACAATCTTGAAATTAATAAAGCTTCCCTTAGGAAAAAAAAAAAGGAAATCAGTGTGGTCTCTCACCTTCCTGTTTGCCATTGTCGGTGCCATCAGTGGCATCGTGAATGGTATAATTCGAAACAGTTGGGAGGGTCAACTTTTGCTGCTGGTGCTCTTTGTGCCCCTCTTGCTGGCTTTTCCTTCCCTCGTCGTCTTCCCCACCTACAAAGATGCCACCAGCAAAGATTCACAGGTAAAGCGCATCAATTTCACTAAAAGAGCCTGAACTCGATCTAGCGATGTCAGACTCGTGAATCGAATACGAGCCCAACGAGCGGGATGAGCATCCAAAGCTGGAGCTAGACAAAGAAATTCTTGACGGATCGAACGGTGACGGCTCACCTAAGATCTCAGATGTAGTGGCTTCCACTGCACTTTTCCTCTGCTCGGGCTCACTAGCGAGCATCCGTTCCTCCTCTTCACTGGTCCCTGCCGTAAAGCGAAGGCTCAGTGCTATGACATCTCAATCGAAAAATGCCAAGATTACCAAATGCACCGGTGTGGACTAGACCGCTTGATTTGCTGAGAGGGAGGAGGTAATTAAGTGGTGGATTAGCAAGTTTTCACCTCTGGCGTTGGCGTTGGCTTCCTCGCCGGCGGTATCGTCGTCGACCACCTTTGGATCCCCGGAGGCAGAGGCCAGAGTGTCGGCGGATCTCCCGTCGTCGGCGTCAACCCGCTGGCGGATCAAGAGCGAGCGCGGCGCCTGGTCCACCGACAGCCTGCCGTTCACTGAAATGAGATTCATGCATGAGCACCGTGTGTCCATAGATTCCTAGAGAACCAAGAAGAGTGAACAAATGGCAGTGGGCCTGGACAGCCCAGCGCTTACGGTTGAAGAGGAGAGCATCGGGCTTGGAGACGACGACGAAGGTGAGCGTGACGAGGAAGAAACCGATGACGAGGACGAGTAGACGCAGCCGCCGCGAGTCGTGCCGAAGGCTCCTCACCAGTTTCGCGCGCTCCACCGCCATCATCTCCTCCCTCCCTCTCCTCCACCACCGCCCAAACAAGCTCCCGCCTGCTACGCCTAGCTCGCTCGCTTGGAGGAGATGCGTCATGCGCTGGAACACGGATCGGTATGGACGCGAGCGTCGTATTTGACCACAGATGCGGAACAGCGGAGGTGAAGTGGGAAAGGGCGAAGTGTTCGGCTCGTCGTGTGGAAGCTGGAACTGGATGCATCGCTGAATGCTAATGTGTTTGCTTCCTACTACTTTTTGGCCGGCTTTCGTTGACAATGTAGCGTGGCGTGAGTTCTATTGAAGGGAGCTGCACCGCTCCAATTCAGCCTTTTCCCGTTTCACCGTCGAGGCGTCGACCAAAGCGGAGTACGGGTGTGAAGAAAACGAAAAAGCCGGAGTACCGGCGACCTCAGTGGGTGACTTTTGGATGAACCAGTGTCAAACTCACTAGTAACATTTTTTCTTTTTAGGGAAACAGGAAGGGTGTGGTTGACACCCAAAATTGTCCAGAGAGAGTATAATGGATATTATCATCATGTTTCTGTCATCAAGATGACCAGAGAGCATACTCGGATCATCACATTTGGCGCTTGGGCGAGGAAAAAGATTTTTCGGGTACTGAACCGGCCAGAGTCGGCTTAGCCGACTCCCTAAGTCGGCTAAGACTAACTTCCTCAAAAGTAAGAATGGACTTCACCATTGCGTTCCTCTCGTCGAGCTGATCGAGACACATATATGGATCGTCTCGTTTGGAGTTCGGATGAATTAATTATGAATTTAGGAAGATTTTCACTCGGAATTTCCTGTGCCAAGTCAGCTTAGCCGAGTTCGTCAGTCGGCTAAGCCGACTAGCCCTGTTTTCAGCCCAGAAACAGCGTCCCGGGCCCGTGGAAGTCGGCTAAGCCGACCTGGGAGTCCACTAAGCCGACTTTTGCCTGTTTCTCCGAACCGATTTGTTTCCAAATGGTGTTTTGGTATATTTTTCATGTGGGAAACTTAAAAATTAGGTCTTAGGAAATGTTTTCTACTAGGATAAGATTACCCCCTCTATAAATACGAGAGGATCATAGCCGATTGAGTTTTCATCTATCCAATCATCAAAAACACAACCTATCGACTCCTTTTGCCCTAATTCCCTTCTCTCAACCCCTCCTGCTGTTCGGCACGTCTCCCGACGAGATTTGTCGGCATCTTATGTGGCCTTGCTGGTCCTAGGAGATTCTCCACGTGCTTCTCCCCGACGGGTCTTCTCGGAAGAAGTTCGGGAGCGTTTTCAGCCAAGAACGGGCTCTACATCAGCCTTATCGGTCTCTAGATTGGTTTGGTCGATTACGCTGCGTTCTTGCTGCGTTGTAAATTGATCTACAACCTCTTTGGGCGTTCAAGGCCCTGCTGGTGTGTTGGCTTGGATTAATTTTAACGTCAACATACTTTTTGACGACTTCGCTGGGTAAAGAGAAGCGAAACAAGAACAGATCTACTAGCAACATGGGAGACAACGATGGTGCTGCCACCGATGGTGACAAGACTAGCCCCTTCAATGAGGCTAACATGATCTTTCCTCAAAACATGGATGAGCTTCCAGTTGAGTTATGCCAGAAGCTACAAGGCAAGCTCGATGCCAATGTCAAGACTTTCTTGGAGAGCTGCACCAAGAATTGACACGACAAGGTTACCCTATTTCGTGAACCCGCCTACGGCGATGCTACTACTTCCACAGCTTCAGGCGCTGAGGAGAAGGGAGACGGAAAAGCTAAGTATGATGAGGAGGTAAATACCGATGCTTATGCTATTCATGCCAATTTTGCTTAGATGTTGATAGATGAAAGAAAATTACATAATAATAATCTTCAGCATCTTTCTAATCTACTTTAAGCACTTATGGATAAGTTAGAGGGCAAGACAACCGATTGTGATCAATCGGGTGTCGTGCAATAACCTCAATTTGGTATGCCCTTAAATTTTTATGAAAATCAGACCTCTCATGCATTTGCTAGCCAATTTCAATTGGCCCCTTCAGTATTTGAAACCGATAAGGCCGATCAACCTGGTGCTAGCACATCTACGCGTACAGGTGCTGGTGCACAAAGTTCAGGCTGAACTCTTCGAACCGATTATGGAGCATCAACAAATAGAACTTCGTGGGGCATACTGTTTTACCAAACCCACCGAAGTCACCTAGTCAAATTCCTATATTTAATGTTACTCCTAATGCTTATACTACCGATTTTGATGATCCTTTGAATCGGTTTAAGGATGAATTGACTAAATCTCTTCAAAGTAGCTTAGGAGTGCAACTTAAATCTAGTAGGAACACTTATCAAAAGGCATACCCTTCTACTTATGATTTCATGAAAGCACCTAATGGGTGGAGGGTATAGAAATTTAGTGGTGATGATAGTAAATCAACCATGGAGCATATTAGCATATTTCTTGCACAATTGGGTGAAGCTAGTGCTTATGATTTTATGAAAGTTCGTAATTTTCCTTTATCTCTTGCTGGGGCAGCTTTTGCATGGTTTATTTCATTACCGTCTTGTTCTATTGGTTTATATGCTGAATTAGAAGAGAAATTTTATAATCACTTTTATAGCGGTGCTCATGAAGCTAGATTGTCTCACCTTGCAACGGTTCGTCAAGGGCGTGATGAGTCCGTCCATGATTTTTTCAAACGATTTAGAGAGATTAAGAACTGATGTTTCCATTTAAATATTTCTGAAAGAGATTTAACTAATTTATGCTTTGTTGGTTTACGTTCTAGCATTAGAGAAAAGGTTGAGAATTATTAGTTTCACAATGTCAATCAACTTATGCAAAAGGCCATTTCAATTGAATCGCGCCTTAAAGAGTCTCGTGATGCTTATAAGTCTCATCTCTAGAATGTGCATTTTGTTGGTGATTGTTTCGATGATTCTGATGATGATAATAAAGAATTTTTAGCTGCTGAAATTAAATGGCCAGCAGAGAATAAATTGGTTACTTGTCCTTCTCTCAAGTCGATTCATAAGAATCGGAATGAGAAAATGAAATTTACTTTTGATTTCTTTAAATGTGACCGAATCTTTGATGAATTGTTGAAATTTGGTTATATTAGAATTAATTATACATTACCTTCAGCTGATGAGTTAAAGAGAAGGGCTTATTGCAAATATCATAACTCTTTTTCTCATGCCACTAATGATTGCAATGTTTTTCGTTGGCAGGTCCAATTGGCTCTTAATGGGGACGATTGAGTCTTACTAAAATGCAAGTTGATAAGACCCCTTTTCTCATGCATATGGTTGAAGCAGGGGCGCCCACTGTTTTGATTCGTCCAGAGCAAGTCGATACAACTCAAGGCAAGAATGTGATTATCAGCGAACCAAGTGTAGCACCGAATGTCGAAAAGAATTCGGGGCGCAAGGTGTTGCATGAGAAGGACGATGAAGGCAAAAACAAGTTGAAGATCACCGTTGGATCAACACAATATTTGAGAAGGCAGCGCTGGTATGAAACAACGGCGGCACAGTAGAGGCCGACTAGGTCGACTCCACCAGTCAACCAAGCCGACCCCAGCACACAGCAGGGCCAGTCAGCTCAGCCAACTCAGGGAGTCAGCTTAGCCGACTCTGCCCCCAGTTCAGCCAAGTTGGCTGAGCCGACTGCCCCAGTCGACTTAGCCGACTCCCCTGGTTCTAGCAACCTTAGCACTTCCGGTGTCCGTGTTTTGCGCACGTTTGTTCCACAGCAGCTGGAGATTGGTACCTAGAAGACCAATGAGAAGAAAAATTAGGGAGAGCTTGTGAAGAAGCAATTCACCTTTGATAGGCTCATTACCAAGTATAAGCAACAAAAGGCCGATTCCTAGAATCGGCCGTTAAAAAAAAGAGAGTCTACTCCACCCAATCGAGAAGATGACAAGTCCAAGCAATTGGCTGTGGTGCAACTAATAGCTCCACCTCAGAGAGTTGCTCCTCGTGTATCTCACTAGGGTCCCCCGATTCCACCTTCGGTTACGCCACAATGGGGACCCTATGGAGTTTGGGTGTTGTATCCTCCGACGGCACCAATGCATAGTCAACAAAAGGTGGGGAGAGCCTGCTGGTCAAGTCTCAAGGACCTCCGTGTTTAGCTGATTGAACAATGGTCAATCGAGCTCCGCTGGTGCAAGTCAAGATCGTGTGATTACTTCCAGGACTTTGACTCCACAAGAATCAGGAAAGGCACCAATGCAGCAAGTTTATGTGCCTAAGAAGGTTGAAGTTCCCGCCGTTCCCCCACCAAGAGCTAGGCCACAATCCATTGTCACAATCGGCTCCATGGAAGCTCCTGTCACTAATCATGATGGGACGATTGTAATTAAAGAAATTTTAGCATCTAAGCAAGATGAAGCTCCTAAAGATGTTGCTGGAATTGAAGAAAAGAAGCATGCCAAAGGAAACTCTACCGACAACCCATATGGTGTCCCCGTGGGTTGAATAAGACTCAACAACGCAAGTTACAGCGTGCCTGGCATAAGCAATGGAAGAGGGAGAAGCTTGCCAAGATGGAGGATGAAATTTTCAACCTCGTACATGTCGAGATCTCTCTGGAAGATCAGAACGCCGCTACTGCTGCTGGCCAGTCGGCTCAGCTGACTTCAGAGTTGGCTAAGCTGACTCCTATGTTGAGCCAGTTAGCTAAGTTGACTGAGCCTATCCCTACCACCCTGGGTACTCTAGAGTCGGCTAAGCCAACTCATGAGTCGGCTAAGTCGACTTCCAAGTCAGCGAGCCAACTCCTGCTGTCACGGGTGCCTCCAAGGTGTCCTCCGATGATTTCGCTACTACCGTTGCTGCCTTGGTCAGCATGGAAGTCCTTGAGGTTCCCAACGAGGAGATGGTTGACTATGAGGCCACCTTGGAAAGAGGAGAGATCAATGTGGTTGTTTTGTCTGCCGATTACTACATCATGGCAGATGACTCTACGGTGGCTGAATTTAACTTCTCAATAGAGAGCGCTATATTTTAGAAACCAGATGACTCCGTTAACCATCTCAAGCCAATACATGTGAAGGGCCATATCAATGGCACATCGGTTCATAGCATGTTGGTGGACAGTGGGGCAATAGTAAACTTGATGCCATATCCACTTTACAAGAAGCTCGGTGGCACTGATGAGGAGCTGATCAAGACCAACATGACCATCAGTGGTGTTGGAGGAGGTGCTCCCATTCTAGCCAAAGGAGTTGCTAACATGGAGCTCACCATCGGAAGAAAGACTTTGGCCATGGCGTTCTTCGTCGCCGACGTGCAAGGTAGTTATAATTTGATTCTTGGGCGTGATTGGATCCATGCCAATCGCTACATGTCATCTAGCTTGCACCAATTTCTCATCCAATGGGTGGGAGATACTATTGAGGTTGTGCATTCAGATTCATCGACTGATGTTGCTGCAGCCGATGCTCCTACGCTTAGGGGGGCATGATGTTATTCCTTGCTTGTCTGGTAGAGACCTTTCTAGCTTTGAATTTATTAGTGTTACCAGACAAGGTTTTGTTCCTGTATCCTTGAAGCCGATTGATAATCGGCTCAATATCATCATGTAATCATTATTGCAATGGATGCCAATGTTGAATGGTTAAAACATCGTGTTGAACGGTATCGGGCTAATAAGGCCGATGCCTGTGAATCTATTGATGATTTTGATGAGCTTGATAAGTTGGGCCAAGGTTTTATGTCGGCCGACCCTTTGGAACAAGTTGATATTGGGGATGGCTCTGTGCCCCGGCCAACGTTTATTAATCAAAATTTGGAAGTTGGTTACAAAGTTGAGTTAATCGCGCTTCTCAAAGAATACGTTGATTGTTTTGCATGGAATTATACAGAGATGCCTGGATTGAGCCAAGAGCTTGTTGAGCATTGGCTCCCTATTAAGAAAGGATTTAGGCCTTTCAAGCAACACCCCCACTGATTTAATTCTACAATTTATGACCGAATTAAAGAGGAGATTAATCGGTTATTGCAAGCGAGGTTTATTCAGCCATGTAGGTATGCAAAGTGGGTCTCTAATATTGTGCCAGTTGAGAAGAAAGATTCTGGGAAGATCAGAGTCTTTATTGATTTTAGAGATCTGAATAGAGCAACTCCGAAAGATGAATATCCTATGCCTATTGTAACACCCCAGGTGTCGATAGAATATCGTTGACAGTCCTCCGAGGGGTATTGCACGAAGGTAGATTGATTGTTAGAGGTGCGTGCAATCAAGAACAAGAAGGCAACAGAGACAAGAGTTAGACGGGTTTGGGCCATCTACGCGACATAATACCCTACTCCTATGATCTGTTGGTTTGTATTGGCTATCGTATGGTATTACGTGTGTTTTGAGGGGGTCCCCTACCTGCCATATATAGCTAGGGGTAGGGTTACAAGTTGGTTAGATCTAGGAGATAACCGACAAGTAATAACAGATTACATGAATCATGGGATTGAGCATATCCTAACAGATCTCGTAGCATCTTCAGGATATCGCCCTTGATGTCTTGCGGTACACGCCGAGCAGTACCATGCACCATAAGTCTTCATCTTGTGGGCTGGACCACCCCTGGCGGCACAACCTATGTAGTCTGCCATGGGTATCCGGGGTCGTACCCCCCACTGCTAGTCCCCGAGCACCTTATATCTAATGTGTAATGCCATCTTGAGCTTATCCGAGCAGGTGTAAACAAAGCCGAGCAGTTAGACTCATAGTCTGACCACCCTAATGAGTCATCGAGCAGTTGTGGACTGTAACCGACCAGCTTAACTATCCGGCCAAGCCCGGGCTTACCCAAGTAAGGCTTGCAAGAAGGATGTAAGGAGCTCAAGTTCAAAATCGAAAATTTCCTCACTATGAACCAAGTGTGCCCACTTAGAGTCCAACCACAAGAAAGGGAGATAATCTTCTTCAACTTCAGGAGGCACGAAGTCTTCCAATGAACAAATTAAAGAAAACACACTCACTACAAGGTGAAGCGTGCCCACTTAGTCCCCGAGCCTGACAGTAGGTGACGTGGTCACGTGGTGCCAGGGTCCAGAAAGTAGAAAAAAGACAGAAGACGAGCCGAACAGGCAACTAGTCCACGGCCTAAGCCCTAAAATGAGAAGTGCACATTCACCACAAGGTGAACTATGCCCACTTAGTCCCCGAGCCTGATAGTAGGTGATGTGGTCACGTGGTGCTAGGGCCAGAAACAACAGTAACCATAAAAAGTCCCCAGTATGGTGAAAAACCGAATCATAATGATGACGTAGTCCCCGAGCCACAAGTAAAAATCTCGCATAAATCAAGAAATGCCGATTACTCAAATCATGGAGAAAAAACTAGAGTAATGACTGTATAGTAGAAATTACTAAGCCTTGATGGTATTACGGAGAGGTCGGCGAATATTCTATGTGCAGTACCAAGTTGCATCGAAAAATGGGCGATATGGTCCGTAGTTGCATGGAAACCCAACTAACGGCCTAGCACGGCGCTTTGGGTAATTCGAAGGGCACAAATCAGCATGGTGTAGTTTCCCAAAAACCCTTGAATGTGAAAAGTCAAGAGGGTGTATTTATAACTCCGTCGCTGCACTCCGCGCTCCCACCTTTGCCACTCCATCGCTTCATCTTCCTCCTCACCCTCACGCTCCCCCATTCGCATTCACACATGCTCCACAGCTAGAGCTAAAAAAGCTTTCATAAAGGGACCAATCCCGATCCAGATCTTAGTGATGGCGCCGAAGAGAGGAGGTGGTAACGCGAAGAAGGCGGCCACTGGGGCGAGTTGCGACAAGGAATGGGTACCATCACTCATGGGGGAGACGGAGCTCAACGAGATGGTAGAGGCGGGCGTTCTTCCTGATCGTGTCACCGCCAGATGGCATCCGGCCGACGGTGAGCCCTATCTGATGCCACACACTAACGAACTCATTGTATTCGAAGATTACTTCTAGCATGGATTAGGGCTTCCGGTACATCCTTTCTTGTGAGATCTATTGGAGTATTGGGGAGTAAGCTTATGTAATCTTCATCTGAACACTATTTTGCACATTTCTGTGTTTATCTACTTCTGCAAGGTTTATCTTGGCATTCTTCCCAATTTCAATCTCTTTCAACACTTTTTCTAGCTCAAGAAGAAAGGAGGGGCGGTTCCAAAGTTGTCGGCGGTGTGTATCTATAGCTCCATGATGGGATGGCGAGTGAATACATTGTAGTGCCGCTAAATACCTCACTGAAGGGGTAGAATGCCAGGTGGTTCTATATGAAGCAAACTAATTCTGCCGTCCGATGCGACGTTGACCAGATTCTAGAGAATCAAAGGAGCTGGTTGGAGAAACCGACCAGTGGCGATATGGAACAGGTGAAGGAGCTCCTCGAGCTAATGAGGGGAATAAAGACGAGTGGAGTGGTAGTGGTGGTGAACTTCATTCTACGTCGTGTCTAGCCCTACAAGGAGAGGGCTCATGCAGGCTTTGACTTCAAAGGAGATACTGATGGCTCCCGGGAGAGGACGAAGAACCTGACAAAGGAGGCTGTGCTACACTGGGCCACTGAACTATTCACTCCAAACGTGTCGTACACCGTGCCAGGGCAGCCGAAACCCTTCAACTGTTCGTACTCACCTCCTTAGGTAAAAATCTCGACAGTTGTTCCTGGTGCTTTTTATCCCGTGCTGGCACTGAGTAGTGGACTAATTCACTTGTGGAAAGTTCAATTGGCAGGAACGGGCGGCGTACTTCTCAGGCGTGCCGAGGAGCGATTGGCCAGAGGCAGTGGATGCTAGGCCAACCACCTAGCCGAAGGAAGGTGCCATCAGCACCTCGTCTGAATCCAAAGGCGAAGGTGCTGGTAAAAAGGAGAGCCCCCCCCAGTATCGGAGAAAGTTTAGGGAAAAGGGCAGCGAAAGATGAGCCAGCCCAAAAGAAAAGTAGAACGGTGGATGTAGCTCCCCATGAGCCAGCTGGCATCTCATTTGGTTGCAATCGGACCGCTCGGACGCAGAGTGCAGTGATATCCGAATGGTTGGACGATGACGAGGCTCCGATAGCTCCCCCTCTGAGCACCAAAATGTCATCGCGCAGAATGCGCGTAGAGGTACGATCGAAGGGAGGAGCAAACATCCAGCGTTGAGTCCCTGAGAAACAGCCAGCGAAGAAGACGCCGACGGTGGGGGCCACAAGACCACCAACCCAGGACATGTAGGTCAACCCTAGAGTAGGCCTTGGGAGCTCGGGGAGGCAGCGCCGATTCAGAACCATTCATTAGGAAGCTGACGTGTAAGTATCTTTGCTTTGGGATCGGTTGCTGTCCAATCTTTATAGTGGCGGTGATCGATGGGCTAATCTGATGCAGATCAGGGCGCGCGGAGGATCTGAATCCTTCAGGCCAGACGGGCGAGCAGCCAGGGGCTGGTCCTAGTGTAGAGACATTGTGGGCAGACTCCGCCCCAAAGTCTCCAGCCGCTCGTCGGTTTGCAG